TATATATATATATATATAAAACAAGAGAGCTATGCTCAAATATATGGACACGTAGAGTCACATAATTTTGATGACGTCATAGCGAAAAAAGAAGTAATAGCCTTCTGGAGAAAATTTTTATCTTTAACCACTAAAAATTTCAAAGCAATTGGTCCAGTATTCGAAGAGAAAAGCGACTTTTTAAAAACGTGTCAAGCGGTACTGAGTTAGCAGTCAGGCAGCATCTTACCTGTACACTGTAGGCCATATACGGTAATTGATCACAGAACAGTTGTTCCCTTGCAAATTTTATGTTGTTTACACTTTAGGACAGATAATTGATCACAGAACAATTCTTCCCTTTCAAATTTTATGTTGTTTCCAGTAGACTCTCATCAAAATAAACAAATATAGTAGGCTACAAGTGCTACAACGCTTGCATTACTGCACTGGTAGGACCGTGAAAGAATAAGTTACGGTAATTTCATTGTGGTAAGACACCGGTACCGGCACCAGTACCAGTATCGTACTTACGTACTGAGCTACCAGTACCGGTTAGCAGTCAGCCAGCATCTTACCTGTACACTGTAGGCCATATACGGTAATTGATCACAGAACAGTTGTTCCCTTGCAAATTTTATGTTATTTACACTTTAGGACAGATAATTGATCACAGAACAATTCTTCCCTTTCAAATTTTATGTTGTTTCCAGTAGACTCTCATCAAAATAAACAAATATAGTAGGCTACAAGTGCTACAACGCTTGCATTAGTGCACTGGTAGGACCGTGAAAGAATAAGTTGCGGTAATTTCATTGTGGTAAGACACCGGTACCGGCACCAGTACCAGTATCGTACTTACGTTCTGAGCTACCAGTACCGGTACCGAACCTGTAGGTCTGATATTCCGTTCCGCATACGATAGGCTATAAAACTTGCATTGCAGCATTAGTAATACCGCGGAAGGAATAAGTCAATTTCACTGCGTTACGGCACCGGTATGGCAACTTACCAGTACCGACCTACAGTAGCTGTAGTACTGAGCAAGACAATCGATCGCGAAACCGCTTGAAATAAGTGTAAAACAGTGTTCCCATGAGTAAAAATAAATACCGCGAAATTTTGTATGAAATATCATATCTCATAGGATTCATATAAAATTTAAGAATAAACAAAAGTAATAGCCTTCTAGCGAAAAAATTAATCTTCAACCACTGAAAATTTCAAAGCAATTGGTCCAGTATTCGAAGAGAAAAGCGACTTTTTAAAAACGTGTCAAAGAACAAGAACAACAACAAGAACAAGAACAACAACAACATAATATTGAAACGATCGTTATGTCCACTACGTGTCCAATAAAGTGCTCATGTACATATCTATATTCGGCTACAGAGCATGTAACATAGAATGAATATTAAGGCGAAATATTGATAATATACTGAAATAGCAATGCTACCCAATAGGTTATTTTTAAATAAGTATTACCGGTACTAAAAAATAAATAAAGTGCTCATATACATTTAGATATTTGGATACAGAGCAAGTATCACAGAATAAAATTTAAGGCAAAAAACTGATAAAATACCAGATGATACTTTTAAATGAAGTATTACTAAAAAATAAATAATGTGGTCATGTACATAGATATTTGGATACAGAGAAAGTGTCATAGAATGGAATTTAGGGCGAAATATGGATGCAAGTATGAAAAACAATTTGATATTTTTATAAAAAGTGTTACTAAAAAATAAAATAATAGATTATGGAGTTCCAGCAAGTGTGCTCATAACAAATAAAAAGATAGCAATTCATTTACCACAGTGAATTAAATTCATTACACATTACTACTTGCTATAACACAGCGGGCACATGATACTCATCGTGTTTTAAACTTTTTTAAAGGTTTTGCTCGCTCTCCAGAACTCTCCATTTTTTATTTGTTTGTATTGTCAGATTGTGGACTTTTCAAAATAAACTATCTCTATCTATATCAATGAATACAATATCCCAGGTCCCCACTTGACTGGTTCATATTCTGTTCTGTAGATAAGTTTTCTGCCTAATAGATGGTATGTATTCCCAATAAGCATTACAGTATGCTCATTCGTTCACTCAATGAGTGATTTTAATTACGGTAAATATAAAATAATATATATAATATAAATAAGTTCATATTCCATTTTGCATCCATGATCCAGTATTTAATTTGTTCAATTCCAGTAGTAATCCATACCATAATTAGGTTATTTTAATAAATGCATTGATATAAAACAATAAAAATAAAATTAGTAAGTATAAAATACATATCATAAACATATAATTTTCTTTTTAAAATAATGCTTTACATACGTAAATTTTTCAATTCCCTCTCAAATGGGTTGTTTATTCTATAATTCTCTATATTTTTCTACATATTATGGCCATTTTTATCTGCTTTTTGAGAAAGGCAAAATGTGGTGTTTTATTTTCGAATATAATAGAATTTCTCATGGTCAAAATTTTATATCTCACTATTGATTACAAAAGTATAATTGCATCCAAATCAACAGTATCTATATGACTATATAAAGGATCGTTAAAATTAAATAATATGCAAGAATCATATTGATAACAAAATGTATTCTAATCAATTTTAATATATCTAAAACAAAATCTTCATAAATATTTTTTGTAAATTTACAATACATGAAAATATGTGAAACAAACTCAGGTTCTCCATTACATAATACACACATTTCATTCCCTGCTATTCTTCCAATTTCTGGCTTTTGTTTTCAATGACAAGATATCCCAGAGTAATTTATAGTTAGAATCAGTATTTTTATTAAGTAAACGAATAGCTCGCAGAGCCATGTGATTCATATGGAGCACAGAGCTATGATTGAGAGAAGCCGTGGTTCGCCATATATTTAGGCCTTCTTTTCGGCTTTCTTCTTCCCTTGGATAAATATGTAAATCCCATGTTATATCAATTAATAAATACATGAATAACCGCACTCCTCTCGGCGACTGGTTCCTATTCTGTTCTGTAGATACGTTTTCTGTCTAATAGATATGCATTCCCAATAAGCATATGCTCATAGTTGTATGGTTTCAGCGTACCATACTTCGAAACCCAAAACCAAATATTTATTGAAGAATTAAAGACCTCAATACGGCCAATTTCGCACCCGACTCGGCTGAAGCAAGGGATTTTGGCAGCGAGCAATGCGTTTTCTTAATATGCAACGAACCATTTAGCTGGACGACGTAAAAAATGCAGGGACAATGCCATAATGAGCAAATCTTTGCAAGTTTCCACTCATTGTATATATGCTCATTGGGTAAAGACAGTTAATCATGTTTGGCCGAAATATTGCGAGGCATTGTGGGAAATATATTGAGCAAAGTCCGGACTGATATAAAACGATAAAACCGGTAACAGAACATCAAGGTTTTGTAATTGAAAATGATTCTCGCACAGAATAAACATACTGGCTCATACTTGATATTTGATAGTAGTTAAATTGCGAATATTGAACTGTTGAAAACAAAAAAACGATCGTCGAAATTCTTAAATCTCGTTGCCTTGGTTAAATATAATCCAATGATCAGGACATTTTCAATTAAATACTACACAAAGATAGTTATACATTAAACATTTAGGCTACAATTCAGCTTTTTTTTTAAATTTTAATCATGCATTGTGGCGGAGAAATCCCACCATTTAAATACGGGTAACTATAAAAATAGAATAGGATTCTGGATTCGATTTAAGTATTCTAAAACAGTGGTTCCCAACCGCCGGTCCGCGGACCGTCAACGGTCCGCAAAGGATTTTTACCGGATCGCGGGAAATCCCGTCATATTGTTGTTTCTCTGCCGTCTCAATCGCTTTACCGATGCCGAAAAGACGAAGTTGCGTTGGTTCATTACGCAATTTCTCTTCCGTCGTCATATTGCTGATTTTTACCGGATCGCGGGAAATCCCGTCATATTGTTGTTTCTCTGCCGTCTCAATCGCTTTACCGATGCCGAAAAGACGAAGTTGCGTTGGTTCATTACGCAATTTTTTTTCCGTCGTCATATTGCTGTTTGATAAGCGCGACATTAATTATCACGGTGACGTATTGGCAAGAGAGAGAAAAGTGAGAAAAACGGCTGCAAATACCGAAGCTCTAACTTCTTCTACTTTTTAAACTTTCACTTTTTACAATCGACGGAATTGACTGATTTAAAGAGAGCTCGTTTCAATCGCGAAAGTGCTCGACCAATAATTACGACTTTACGTAATTCGTAACTTCCCTTCCGTAACTCGAAATAATTTCGTAAATTACATGCAAGCCTAGACGCTAGCAGTTCTGACTTATGTTTTAATGTGAAAGCGGCATTTTACACTTACAAGAAGGTGATTAAAAAGCAAATTAATACCATTGGGACAGTACATTTTTGGGAATAGTTCATAAACTTAATTATGAAAAGTTGAGGTGCACAAAATGAATTTTTCCAGTCTCCCGTTTACAAATGTTATAAAACGAGGCTTTGTTTGCTCTTCCGATTTCATAATCAGTTTATTTGATTTTATCAATCATTTTATCGCCTGGTATGAACTTATTGGCCTATTGTTCAGTTTTGTATTGTCGCACTATTTTTTCAAAATTTTTTGAACTTATGTTGGATTGAATGTGTCGTATTTGTGTTCATGGCTATGTATCAATGCTGGTGTTACAAACACTATGCGCCCTTATCAAAATATGTGAGCATATGGAGACCATGACAAATTTATTCAAGTCCAGTTTGTAAAATATGTCGTCTTATTTTTAGTGTTTCCACGTCTTGAATTGTTTTCGCGCGATTTTATATTGTTTTTGGTTATTCTACAGTGTGCCTCTACATGTTTTTAACTTCATGCGGAGTTACGATCACTTTCGGGGTGAATATGCATTTTGCTCCTCGGTGTGTTATTTTGTTTTGTTTGACATTCTGCTAAATTAGAATCCGGAATGCCAGGGATTGACAAGTAAATCAAACACAACAAGTCAAAACAGAACCCATCGTTATATATCTTATAAAAATATATTCCCTTTCTATAAAAATAGAACGAATCATATGAATAATACAGATTTGAGAACAACAATAATTCAATCGTGGATTCAGAAAAATAAACAGTCGATGTACTAAAATACTATTATATGAAGATATGCGAAAATAGGAATCAAAGAACCACTTGAACACGCAGAACTATTCATTTAAGAGATGCAGGTAGAGTTTCTTACAGCATTATCATAAAGAGTCGAACAGACAGCTGGACAGCATTTGAAAAAACTAGGACAGCATTGGTTAACCAGTAGTTGGAATGCCGAGAAATATCCTGAACAGTGTTTGAAACAATTAAGACAACAGTAAAACCAAGTCGTTTGAATGCTACGGAAAATCAAGTTTTCTTGTTGTACGGTGAATTTTTTAGTGTTTCCAGGAAAAATTGCTCATCCTCTAGAAAACTCTGATCCTGCAAAACAAAATTATTTTCATTTACTATTATCACCTTACGCTTACGGTCACATTGTATATTTTTGAAAAATCTAAAAAAAATATAAAAGTAACAGAAGATCCTATGCGATTCAGAAAAAAAAGTGAGGGGGTTTCGAAACGTTGGTTTTAGGCAATATTACTATACTTGACAAATGGATAGATAACATCAAATACCACTTTATGGTGATATAATTACTTTGAAGGTTAGCATGTATGTGGGACAGTATTTTTCCGCGTGTTCATGATTCTTTATTTTCCTGTATTTGTAATTTGTTATTGCTGTGTAAAGTAATGATTTTCTATTGCTTTATTGTTGTGTTGTGTAATTATTAACCCCGAATGAGAATTAGAAGACATCGTCTTCCACGTTCGGGACGGTGACAGACAGTCGAGTTTTGTGTTTGGGGTGGGCAGTTTATGTTGAACTTATTTCACTTTAAGTTGATTTATTGCTGTTTTCAAAATAAGAATAATGCCGCAGTCGAGCCTCGGATCTTCTGTTTTTATCGTGGCAGATGTTTTAGAAAGTATAGGAAGAAAAAGCTGTGACATATGCACATCATAAAATCCCGAATCCCAAACAAACCAAATTCTATCCAGATCTTCCAACATGTTTGAATAACTGTTGTTATCTGGCTGGAAACTGCACTTTACTAATTTTTAGTAATATTCCGCATACTGAAAATTTCTTAATGTATGAACATGATGCAATGTGAAAAAAAAAGTTTGAATCTAATATAACCTACAATTTGTTAACTCTAATATAAGAATCACCTTTTTAGCAGAATGTTGCCATAACACCATTCCCGCAGGACTATTGGTTTGTCCTGGACTGCCTGGATGTCCGATCACCAGTCTTTGCTTGATTGGTGTCACTGTGGTTGAGGTAGATGCCAATGCCACATGGCCAACAGGAGATGCCACAGCTGAGTTGAGGCGCGTTGAAAATATAGGTCCACCAGCACTGCGTTCTTGCGCCAGTGCCTTCCTTTCCTACAGGATATGAGCAAAAGAATATAAATGAACATCTGAAGATAAATTTTACAATAATTATACGATAAATTAAGGATGGGATTTACATATTAATCCCAGGGAGAGGAAAGGCGATGAGTCAGCTTAACCATATGGCTAACCACGGCCTTCTGTCCGGTTACTATTCCATGTCGCGTCGGGTATGAAAGTAGTTAGTTACGGTATTTGTTTTCGGAAGCATGGACTTGAGCAAACAATACATTCACATTATTTAAAGCCTGATGGTAGAAGTTTCCTATTAACAAATAAGAATCACCCAATCGGAAATCAAAAGACAATTACCGGTACATAAAACAAGAAAGCGATGGTCAAATTATATGAACATGGACACCAAGGCCAAAATGAAGTAGTACTGGTATAAGTCTTCCAGACTTCACCTAGTCCGCAATTCTTTATTTTGATGGCGGCATCGCACACCAAAAAACGAATCCTATGGGACCTACAGAAATGTTTCAAAAAGATATAAAGTAATAGCCCTCTAGCAACAACAAGCTTTACCCACTCCAAATTTCAAAGCAATAAGGACAGTAGTAAATGAGAAAAGAGATTTTTTTATAACAACAACAAGAATTGAAATCTAACAAGAACAACAACAACATAGGTCCATATGTCCAATAAATCTTAACAAATGAAATACCTCAGCAAGAAGTTGTCTTTGATTTGCAAGTTCTTTCATATCATTATGAATTTCAGCAAGTTTTTTACTTTGTTCTTCCTGAATTCGTTTTGCTTCTGCATAAACTCTTTCTTTATCAGCTTCAGAATCGATTGCTTTCTGCAAAATAAAATTGAAATGCATTATGGATATAAAACAACATTTAATTTAGCAGTCAAGGATTCCAGGATTACTCACTTGTGACATTGCGTTTGTTTCTGCTTCTCGTTGTTCTAGTTCATGCTGAATTTGTTGTAAAATTTGTTTTTCTTCATTAAACTGAGTAAGTTTATTGTTCAGATCAAGCTTCTGTGAGTTCAATCTTTCATTTGATGATTCAAGCTAAAATCAAAAGTATAGAAAATTTGAAATCAGTTATATAAATAATGAAGAATGTAAATAATCTCTAGTGTATGCCCAGCTTGACTCAGAATATAACTGACAGTTTACATTTGATCTGGAAAACGTTTAATGTAGTTGAGTTTGCTAGAATTTTAAAGGTTTTGGGAAAGTAGCTACAACTAGGAACTTTGACTAACAGTGGCTAATGCACCGTTTTTTCACTATCCATCTAATATTTTTTTATATAAACTATGTCATTTTCAAACAAACCAGAAAATACCTGGAACAAACCAATTATCATATGCTACATAAATTTATTATACATGTAAGAGGTGATTCTCAATTTTCATTCCCTTGGGCACAATATTTATTTATTTATATTAAGAGAAATATTGGGATCACGAAACCTGCAATAAAAATTTCAATTTTAAGTATCATAAAATGTTTGCTTTTATATAAACAATACAGTAAAAGTGTCAATGACCAAACTATTTTTTGCATCTCATCATCAGTGTGTTAAGTCAAACTTCCAAACCTCAATATCAAGCCTAAATCTTATCCCCCTTCAATTTGTAATTGACATTTCCTTGAGACCTACTGCCGACCCATTTCAAAAATTTTTGCTGGTCTGAAGGACCATGTTGAGAAACACTGCTCTCAAGTTTTACGAACAACCACCACAGTTGAGCATAAGGTATGTAACCGACAACGACAATATCAATTTGATAAATGCAATATGAAACACTATAGAATTAAGGAGCATTCGGTACTCAATTTCTGCAAATCAAAAAACATCTTTATGTACCTGTGCTTTCTTTCTTGCCAATTCCAACTTCTCTGCATTGATTTGATTCATCATGTCTTCATGTTCACGATTACGTCGATTTGCTTGTTCTGCTTCCGTTATTTTAGCCTCCTCGTACCTAATAGCGATGCTTGACAGATCATCCGATGCCCTGATCAACTTTGTTGTGTCATCTCTGCTTTCTTGTCTGATCTCATTCTGTATATTTATCATTTCTCTCTAAAAAACAGAATTTCATTAGCTTGTGGCAAAATATACATTTTCCTGGTAATGACAGGACTATAAAAAAAAAACAATTGCAACACATACTGCATTCATATGTCAATTTAAAAGTAGATAAATTCAAACATAAAACAATAAAACACACCTGTATCTCAGAGATATGTAAAGACAATGTATAAACTTTCGAACATGACTAATATAAAAATGATTTCACATAAAATGTTACACAGGACTGTGGAGCCAGCGTTTAATATGTTTACACTAAAGTCAGAGGTTACCTCAAAAAACTGTCCGGAGTCAAGGGCCAAAATTTTGCATTCTCTGTGGAGTCTGAATTTCATATTTTCAATGATGATAATATAAACTTGAAAAAAGTACACAAGTGTTTTTTAAGAAGATGATATTATTAAAGAAGGCTTGCATACGCAAAAGCTGAGCTTCCCCAGTAAAACCGTAATTTCCTTTTTTTGCTCGTGTTTTCTGTGTTCATTTTTTTTTTATTTACTGGTTGGAAAAAATAAACTTGACTTGATGATATCAAAATTTAATTTTCTTCGATATGACAAATAAAAAAAATTTATATTATATTAGTATGGTAAACAGTTGTAATTTGTCAAGAAAATACCAGTTTTTCACCACATTTACAAATGGAAAACAGGGGCGGACACTTTCCATAATTTTGGGGGGGCGAACTTGGATCGCCTACCGAAAAACACCGCGCCGTGTATCGTCAGGTAACAATAACCTGTCGATGTCATTCTTCAAGTATTGGAATGTCATTTTGCTACTCATATATCGAGCACCTAGGCTGCTTTGCTTGGACACGGAGCTTGTGCGTCACTGAACCAATTTCTTGAATATTAGCCCACGGCTCTTGCTTACAAACAGAAACGACAAATTTGAGGAGTCGTATTGGGTTATTGTTTCAATTCCTAGTTCTGCATAATGCGCACTAACACCGTTTCGTAAAATTATAAATGCAAAAAAGGTAACAAGCTATTGTGCGAATTTTTTCCTAAATTTTACCAAGGAATTATCATTTGACTAGTAGAATTGCCATTATTGCCGATTTATTAAATCATCATTTGAACTCGAAATAACATTCAGGATTCATGCAATGACTTTGCAGGATTTTTATTCATAATTTAATACGAAAATAAACAGGCACGAGTTCAGGCGCGCAGCCAGGATTTTCCAAAAAAAAAAAAAAGGGGGGGGGGGGGGGTTCAAAGTCGAACATTCCCATTGCCGTCTGTAACAGTCACCGCGATTATGCGCTCGTTAAAAGAGCCGCCTTTTTAAGCGTATAATGATTTATAAAATAAATAAAGTAAAATAAGTAAAATATTCAATCCATGTCAGCCACGAGATTCTAAAATGTCCTTATATCATAATTTTATTGTGTGCAACGTAACTCGCGGTTGCGACTTCTTACGTCAAAATAGAAATATTCGTGAACTAAATTACAACGCCGATCTGTGGACATAAAAATATAAAATAAGCTCCCAGATCTATTTAATTTCGATACGTATTTTTGCAATCTTTTGATATCGTTATCGCCGTTACAAAAATCTCGATATTTGATGTAAAATCCCGTATAGTACAATTTTACTTTATATAATGAAAATAATTATAAAGTATACAAGTAAATCAAAAATACAAATTCACCGCCTCGAAATCCACGCCGAACAGTCGCCGCGATTACGCCACTTGTTAAAAGAGCCGACTTTTTAACGAAAAATGATTTTTCACTTGTGCAAAGTAATCAATTAAAGACCGATACGGGCATATTTAAAATGTCTTGATTTATTAATTTAATTGTCTTCAATTTAAATTGCGGTTGCGTCGACAAAACAAGAACCACCCTAAAACATCACGGCAATCCGCGGACATAAAAATGTGTGGTAAACTGCCCGTTTATATATTGTTTTAATCCGTATTTTTGCTATTTTGCGAATTCGATAAATTGAGTGAGATGTACTTGTAACACTGACTCCGCTCAATCGCAATGCTGCCACTCGGATTATTTTCAAAAATAAAACCTTTCGAAAAATCTGTATATTTTCTGTCAATTCTCACGGAGTAAAATTTATTTTCAGTACAATGAACATTAATCGAATATACTTTATTTATGTTATATATCATCACAAATCGGGAAAAAGTCGCGTTCTCAACCTTGTTTAATGTTAACACGAAAATTTTCGACCTCAATTCAAAAGTAATGGATAAAAAGGCAAATCCCGCCCACAATTAACCGTGTTTCGATTTTAGTGACTTTTTGCGATTTTCGATGCCTAGAAAAGCGTTTTTAGACTGTCGCGGGCCTCAACAAAACTTATATTGTTTACGGTTTTATTTTTAGTATTTTATATTTCCGCTTTTCAATCAAAAATATAATAGATCTCGGATTTTACTCCTTCATTTGTCTTTAGAATCTCACCGCCGATGAACTTCTAAGAATTCTCGCCGGGTTCATTTTTCCGTGCTAGTACAAAAATAAAATATTTATCATAGTCATAGTGTCACAAATTTGTGGAAAATTTGTGATTTAATGAGAATAAATGCCAACGTAAAGGCGTTCACGGCCTAAATAACAGGTCACAATGATGAAAACAATCGGCGATTTTAGCAAAAGGCAATTGCACGCGTTATTGGCGACTTTTTCAGTTTTCAAAAAAAATCAAAAGGGGAGGGGGTATCTTTTTCAGATAGTTTCTGTGGTCTGGAAAGTCAAATAATCATTTTGACATAGTAAATGCTTTGATATTTGCCCGCAATTTATGCTGGGCCTTGCACGAAATCCATAACGTGAAAAGATACGTCCAGCGGTGAAAATTGTTTATAACAACTTTAAATCTATTTACCCTTCTTTATATTTATGTGGAAGTTGATAATTCTCTATGAAGTTTTGAAAATAAACTTATTTATGTAATGTTTTAGCGATAATGATTAATTGTTGTAATGAAATACAGTTTGCCTCTTTCACTTCTCTCGCTAGTGCCAACAATAACACTATTGAAAGATTTTGACAATGAGAAAACCATATTAAATTGTAATTAGTTGTGCAAAACCGCGCGTGATCGTCGGTGCGCTTGAAGACGGAGTATTACCCGTGCGGGCGCGCATGTTTCACAGAATGTGAGGTGCTCCGAAGGCGCTCTGGTCTACATTATTGTAAGAAAACAGTTATTTATCGGTAACTAATAACCGTTTAATCGCGCTTTTCGGAAATGATAATTTTGTAAGGCGGAGACAACATGTGTAAAAAATTTCTGCGAAATTATTGGGAGGGCGACCGCAGTCAGTGTAAACAGTCAAAAGATAAATTAACCCAATTTAAGTTTAAGAAAATGCTCTAACTGTATGGTAGAATAAAGACAATTCATCTAACGTTTGTATAAATACTTTCGTCTCTAATCAATGCTAATTGTTCAGAATCATAATTAAATCTTTTTAATTCAGGTTTGATAATGGAGGCAAGAATTTCACAAATCAGAAAAATGAAGCAAAATGAAATCAAAAACCCCAATGATCCAAAATGTAATTCAATTTGCCTTAAAATTGGAACGTAAATTAATATCCAAATACCTATAAAAAATGATAGAGCCATTCCAAAAACTATCTCTTTGACTTTAGGATACACATATTGCTTTAATATTTCAACAAAAAAGGCATTGGCCCCGAGTGAAAATACCCCATACAAGCCTGAAGAACATATCTGAAGAAGAAAAATATCAAACTCAATACCTATTGTAATTAGTACGCCACATATTAATATACCAAGACATAAAATTTGTGCAATAGGATTGTATTTTTTAAATTTGTCTGTTGCAAGTCCAGCTGAAATACTTCCGATCAAACCTCCAATGGAAAATACCACGAGCACTTGTGATTTTGGCAAGGTCAGAAGATCATTATCTGTAGTTGAAGTGACATTTGATGAAGTATTGCTTGTTTTGTTAAGCAAGATTTCTGGAACTGGCATCAGTATGAATTGCACAATAGACATTGTGATGAGAGTTGTTTGCACAAAGATAAGTATTGCTGAGGTTTTATCGAAAAATAAAACTTTAAATTCGGAAAGCAAATTTCGCCAAATATGTCGCAATCCTGTTGGATATTCTTTTATAAGTTTCAAACGCTGAGCTTCTGCTCTTGACGGTGGTAGGACAGGTAGGTTTGGTAGAAAAGCTGTGATAATCAGCAATAGAATGACATCTAAACATGATATTATGCTGAATGTTGATACCAAAGCCTGAGACTGTGAATGCAAAATTGGTCCTTGCATATTTTCCAAGTTTATAAATGTAGGCAGAGCTGTACCTATTAATTTTCCAAAGCAGAATGCAAAAAATGATATTCCTAGAACCGTAGCTTGTTCTCTTTCATCGAACCATACAGTTGCGAGCAGTGGCACCAAAACAAAAAATACAACATGAGCAAAACCACCAATGAACTGTCCAAGCATCATTAACAGAATATGCTGTTTTAAAGCAATAACCAATGCTTCAATAAATAAAGATAATCCCATCAGAGCAAGTCCAAATTGCAACCAAGGTTTGACGAGATGAACATACGTCTGTGCAATGAAAAGAACAGGAATCGCAGCAAGAATCGCTCCAAGTGCCTCGCTCAAATTGACATTATCAGCCTCTATCTCAGTTATGTGAAAATGATCAACAAGAAATTGATGCCAAATTCCCCAGGTAACTGATATAATTCCAATCTGACAACCATACACAATAACAGCAAACACCACCATCCATCTGATAGGATATAATTTCAGCGAAGATGGCGGTAAACCATTAATACCTGGCATATTGCTTAAACTTTAACAGATGGTAAATGCTAATAAATGCACAGAAATGCTAGGTTTTAGACCCAATTAAATTCAGTAACTGGTATAAAACAGTATTGAGCTCACTTTTATATATTTTCACCTACTTAGCGGATATCTTTAAAAACATGCTCTACACACACAAACAAATTAGGTCATTTCTTATCAATACAATGTACACAAAATTTTAAATTGATATATTTTGACATAGGCATTGACGGTTGACACACACCTCTAAGTATATAGAAAACTAAAGTACTGTATGCAATATAGATCTTTATTGGGATATGGCAACAAAATCAATCCATCTAAGAATCAAATGTACATTATCAAACAATATTTTCTGACCAAAACGCTATTTGAAGCATAATGGCTGACAAATAATATAAATATAAGACTCATTACTTTATCTCTCATGTTTGATACAGTTAATAAAATTTTTTCTCTTAACAAATGCTAAAAACATCTAATGGTCATCAATGGATTGGTATTTTTATGTCTTGTCCATTGGGTGATAAAAGCTGAAGCTCGAAAATGGAACTTTCGTAAGAATTATAAAATTGTAGAATATTTTCCATTTCATGATATCATCAGCAGACATGAGACCTGATTTTGCTTGTCCGAAATGATACAAAGAATTAAGCAGATACATTGAAAGCAAGTATACTTTGCCAATAAATGCTAAGATAACTGAAACAGCAACTTATACTAAGCAAATTATTACAATAAATGATTCTGGTTATGATCTATATTTTCATGATATGACTTTCTTACGTAAAAATCATGTGCCTGATTGATACATCTAGATATAAACATAGACTAGGGAAGATATCATAGGTATTTCAGGTTTGTTTGTGTTTGAAAGTTCTGTATAATCACATTCAAACTCAGGTATCGAGTAAAACTACCTACGGTATACGATTTGTAAAACTAAAAATACTGAATTAACATTGCAGAGTATTTTGAAATAATAAATTGAGTTGAAAATTGATGTACGCCACACTTTTTGAAGCATTTCTTTGCCCAATATTTAGCGAATATTAAAAAAAAATTCCTATTATTTGTAGCTCTGTGAAAGCAAGATATCATATTTAGGTATGAACAAACAGGCCGTCTAGAATTATTTCCTGGAATTCAACCACATTTTCAATATCGTAAAACAACACATTGGACAGTAAAGCCATGGATTAAAACAATTTTATTTGTTTAGAGTTAAAAAAAAATTGACCGACTCATTTGCTGCAATAGTGGTCAAACAAAATGGTATCCATAATCTGAAAATTTCTTCTCAACTAAATTCTTTGTTCATGTATAATCAAATACTAAGGTATGGAAATCCTCTTCAGAATAAAATACAATAATTTAACTACACAAGACCATAAATGTGCTTGCTGCATGTTCAACCGCCTGTGTCTGTACCAGATATTGAATTTATAAATTGTTTCCTGTGAGCTTCCTTTTTAAAATCATTGATTAATGTGGTTGAAGCATCTCAAATTGAAAGAAGAAGAATTTCAATTTTTATTTCCAATTTAAGAACACTAAACAACTATTCAGTTGAATGGGCTCATTATAAGTTATTCATGACTTCCTTTGTCTCGCATCCATAAACGGAATTTAGCGCAAGTACTCATAATCATGTTTTAACTATAATTAAGGAAGTCAGATCAATGAGCAGTCATGTCAGCAACTGAGTTTTTATGATTGTATCTTGAACTGAATTTAAAGTTGATTAACTTACACAATTGTTAGTTTGTTTTGGATTAATGTAAAATGGCATAAAACAGATAAACCATATTTAAATAAAAATTAATTTACTTTTACAAGCATTACCTGGAGCAAATAAATATTTAAACTAAACTTTATAAGATAAATCATTGAATCTCAAAAATCACAAAACAAAACTTTGCATTTGTGCAAAATTATACATGTTCCTAATGAATGAACAAAATATCATACATAATGGAAAAAAACAACAACTCACATGTGCCTTTCTTAAATGTTCTCTTTCCAAAGAAATTTGTTGCATAAACTGTTTTCTTTCTTCTTGCAATGCAGTGTGAGCTGATTGTAAGTTGCTATGAGACAACTGCAATTTAAGAAAAATATGAATTCAGGTGAAAAATTTCACCGGTAACTTTATTTCATAACAATCTGCTGAAAAGTATTTTCTTAATTTTTTATTCACAGAATTTCAAGAAATTCATGTTTTTTTTATAACTATCTGCTGAAAATGAAATTTGCATTCATAGATTCCAATTTCATACAAATCCTAAAACTTTCATGGTACATCTAAGGCAGGGGTTCCCAACCTTTTTATCTTAATTTCCCACTTCCGATTTAGGCTGAGTTATTATTTCCCACTAAATATTGACTCCCTTAAAAAGAATAAGTTTTCCGTCAATAATAATTGGTAAGACTTTCTGTAATAAAGGCTTGCAATTGGTGTAAAAGTTGAAACCCCGTGAGAACATTCAATGCGCCGTCTAGCATCCCATGATTGTGACGATCGGTGTAAAAAGAGTGTTATTCACCGAATAGAACAATTCAACACATAAGATTACAAAGGACGCATCAAAGTTTACAATATACCGTCAATATCAGATTTGCTTTTTTTTGATATGATAGACCGGATGTCTGAATCTATTTTGAAAAGGCGCATAGCTATTGGACAAGGAGATTTAGGTGACCCGTTCATCTTTGACGCCGGGACTTTTTTCCTTGCTATTTCCAGGACAACTGCCTAAGACGCAGTCACTTTAAACTTGTCTGAAATTGCCCCATGCCCCATACTGTCGAATATCATTTTGCTTCTATTTTTCTTTTTTTTAGTAAACTGATAAGAAAATGGATATTGGAGATATGTTGCTTCATTTAATGGGGCTTCATAGAACTATTGGAGATGGTCTTAGTGCAAACAACGCATTGCGCCAGCTGCTCAAAATTTTTTCTTTAAAAACGTGCAACGTAGCCGAGATAAATATGATCGTACTTTATTTATACATTAGCCTTTATCTTTATTAAAAGTTGACCACAATGACGGGACGGATCAGACATTTGTCCATCAGAGCGTATGCCTACCCAATATCTCCAAGACATTTCAAAATAGACTGTGCCCCTCAGCGACTCGTCAACGAAAATCTTCTTGCGTAATATTCAGAGCCTTGGAGACATGTCTGTGAGGTTGCTATCGATTGACCAAAGATCAAAATTAGTTACATGAGCAAGATCAGAATAACATGGCCAACATCGTGATAGTTCACCAAAGTTTCGATTAATTGAATGGGAATCTTTTTCCGCTTCATGGCTTATATTGTGATTTTCATTGTGTAATATAATTGTGATATTGTGCGAATATTTTTAGAGGAGCATTCTATTTCCCACCAGGATCCCCCAAATTTTCCACTAGTGGGAAATTTCCCACCAGTTGGGAACCACTGATCTAAGGTTAAGCTAAGCAATTGGAAGATAATAAAAATTAAGTAAAAAAATTAATATAAAAATCAGTATACTCTATCATAGATATATTTTTTGATCATAACATGCATGGATCTCCCCAATAATGAAAACGAGATAGCGATTAGAGACCGCGGACTTATCGATCTAGCGGCGTGTATCTTTCACTCTGACTCAAGAGCAACACCGTGTGTCCCATCACTAATTAATTAATAACTCGCTAGTCGCTAATTAGTATTTTTACGACATAATTCATCCAAAATCGATAGGCTTATGGCTCGAGATATGATGAATGCACATGCAAAATTTGGAGCAGATTCAACCTCGATTTCGTGAGATATCGCGTGTATCTAACAGACAGACAGACAAACAAACCAACAGATAAATACCTCACAATCAAGATCAATAAGTATGAGAGAAAATAATTCCGAATTTCATGTGTGATACAAAATAAGATGAAGAAACACAGCAGACGATGTAGATTGTAGATGAAGATATGAATTATGAAGACAAACAAATAATTAACACTATACCTAAAATACTACTTTTAAAATTGCTTGATTATTTTTCGCTAATGTATTAGGAGTCATTGTTTTTTCCGCTGCGTTTAAAATATCTGCAGTCAATATGAGTGGGATGTGCTTGATTATAGTATTCCAATCTTAATTGGAAGCTGAAACCTTCAAATACTATTGTTAGGAAAACACATACCTGCATGCCATAATGCTGTTCTTCCATTTTTCTGTTCATCTCTGAGACAAGTCCTTCAAGTCTTAACATGATAATATGGAAAAACTGAAATAATTCATATTACGCTTATTTATGCCTTTCTCTCTGAGCTAGGCCTCATACAAGTAAACATTCATATCTAACGTTTTGTATGACAACTCATTATTATTTAGGAGAACCGTAATTCATTTGGTTCAGCATTACCTACCCAAGTTATCACACCCTAGGTTGAGTTGGGGGAAGTGATGTGGATTGGGGTTCATACAATATGCTTACAAAAGTCTTCTCCACAACATTAGGCTTAAATTGTGATTTTTACAGAAATTTCGTACTCCCAGTTCCGTAGTATATGTACCAGGTTAGGGTTAGGCCATAATTTTATTCCGATTTTCCTTATTTTGGTTCTATTACAAGTTTGAGGACTGTCTATTATACACCCTGGGCCCTGCCCATAGGTTTCAGACCCTTTACACAACTTGATGTAAAGTAGGCGAACAAAACTAGTTACCTACATACTGGTGCATACACTTCTGGAGCACCGAATTTTCAAACATGAATATCAAAATACCAATTCTGCTCACAGGATTCAGCAATAACAAACCTGATGCTAAGCAAAGCAAATCTACAATAAACAACTTTACTTTACAATCACAAACTATCACCTTGATGCAGTTTGTTGCATTTGTATTTGGGCGTCCGATGTTGATCTTTGTTGTTGACCGAGTTGATTTTGGACAACTAAACAGACAGATACAATTGAATTTCATCAAATTTTATAAAAAAAAAAGGTAGGCCTACTTCCGTAGTATATTTACCAAGGTAGGGTTACGCAACAATTAGAAATGGATTTTTTTTATTTGCCGTCACTAAGGCCATTTTTTGGTGTGGGGTTCAAAGTTCTACCTGTTTTAATTTTGATTTTTAGGTAGTGCCTTATGTCCATTTTTGGGTCTGGCAGGTATAACCAAAGTTACCAAACTATTGCAAAAAGCAATTTTCCCAAAACCTTAAAATATGACACGAGTTAATTTAGTTCTACTGTGGCAAAATGACATAGGAAAGTTCTTACCCTAAAAACCATTTCACTTACAGGTGCTTGTAGCAAATAGTGCAGATCCAGTGAGACTACAAAGAATTTGAGATGATGGGTTTACAAAAATTAAGTTTCTAATAATGCATTTTTTTCAAATATGCTAAGATGAAATACAAAGGATAGATGAAAAAAGTCAGATAAATTAGGATAAAATTGACATATTAATATATTTCTGCATATTCTATAATAAGACAAAACAAATGAACAAACCAAATACGATACCTGAAATTAATTGCTTGTTGCTCAGGGAAATGGATTCCGATTGCTGAGTCATGGCTCTATGTGCTGACTCATATTTCGATGATAATTGTTGTAGCCTATCGGTGGCCTCTTCAACCCTGGACATCATTGATTCTATATTCCTGTTTTGCATAGGAGAAAAACAATTGAACAAAATGATTAAACATATCTCAGTATAAATCTGCGAGGTTTCATGTGATATACCATCCGCCAGAATATTACAAAGACATGGGCTCAGTTAGAACTGTTCTCATTTATTTGTCATTTCACAACTGTCATCTCAAGAAGTTTAATGAGAAGAGTATGACATCAAGTCAAGGCTATTGTCTTCAGATCATGGTTGATCATCTATCTACCAGAAGTATATAAATGATAACACAAGATCCAATGACCACCATGTGACATAGACATCTGTTATACTGCGAAAAAAATTGTAACCTTTCATTAAAACCTCACGGTGAAAGGTGATTTAGCAGTAATAATATGATTTCCGATCCCTAAAGATTCCAGGTCAGTAACACACTCTACTGAACTAGACCGTTTGTAGATCGCAAGACTTCTTAAGAAGACCAGAAAGTGAAAATTGACATATTCAAACCTTTTACAGAAACATCATTGCCCATATTTTCGAATAAATTACAAAATCAGGAATCAAATCGGGGATAAAACGAGTGTCTCAAAAATGTGTGTTCCACTTGACTCACATGTCCCAGGGCAAAGTAGGACACGTGGGACAAGTGAGACACGTTGGACAAGTGGGAGGGACTTGTTACACCCGACATTTTCGAGGCACCGAGAAAAACAATCTAGGAAGCCGTTGTCAAACTAATTATTGCATTCCACACCTGGCATGATATGTTGAATTCTTGATTGCTTCCATTTCTTTACCATGAGCTTGTCTTAATCGTTCAACTTCTTTTTCTCCGTCCACTCTACATTCATCTAATGCTTGTAAATGAAGATTTCTCAACCTGGGAATTAGGTATAGAAAGTTCAATAACATATTATTAGGGAGCGAATAACTACTTGCTCAGGAATACCATCCCCACCAGAAAAAAAAATTTGATAAGTTCATGTTTTTCGAATCTACTTCACGATAGCAGTTCAATATGATTTTTGTTTGAAATACTGGAAAAAATATATTGTGTGATATTATTTATGCAACAAATAAATGTTAAATTTAATCCAGAAACAGAATTATGATGCATGAAAGTAAATACAACATATTCAAAAGTAAAAAATAAGTTTGAGCACAAAACACAGAATCATCCAGTTTTATTTTACAAAAAATAATTTCTCCACTTTTAATTGTCTTGTACAGAGATTATGAAATTTATTTCAATATAGGATAGCTTAGACTTACATAGAAGACTTAAATTCCTAAAAAAGGATTATTAGAAATTCACATATTTATTCAAAAATGTTTTTTTTTCATTAAAACAGTTACTTATTCATTTTACAAGTACACAAGTACTTCTTTCCAAACTAAAAATGATAATCAACTACAAAACTTACCTTTTAATTTCTTCCTGATGTTCACATTCCTTAGATGTATCGGCTTGTACTTGTGTTTGCATTGCATTTCTTAAAACTAATATTCTTGATGAATAGGATTCCCGAACACTATCTAGTTCTCTATCAACTCTTGATTTCAAGTCATTGAACGAAGATTTCAGCAACTGGATATTTGTAATAGAAAAATATACCGACCATGTGAAACACAAACATTTGAAAAAGAAACTAAAGAATTTTGATCAGAAAAAGAGATGAAAAAAATGTCTGCATTGCAGAATTTTTTTAAATGTCCGTCACGCCATTCAGTGCGGCCTTTGTCAACACTCAGATTTTCCCCCATCAAACTCTAAACGGACAGTTTCCCCTTGGATAAATATGTAAATCATATCCTTATGTTCAAAAAGGCGCTCACATAGATAGAAATACATGTTTTTTTACTCCTTTCGTTGGGATAAATCTTGAATTGTGATTATTTTTTTGATTCGTTTTGTACATGGAAAAACTAAATTTTTTGTGTGTCCCAGCTCGATGTCTGAAGTTGGTTATATGGCCCACCAACAAAAAATGTTGTACATCCCTGATTTAAAATGTTGGTAAATAAATTCATATTGTATCAAAATGTAAATGTCTATGCGATAGGATTTTCACATTTATCCTGGAAGAGAGAAAAGCCTATCCTATTGATTAATTAACCACAGCTTCTCATCCGGTTAACAGTCTCTGTCAGGTATGGGAGTTGTTATTTATTTCAGATTTATAGACTTGATGGTAGAGGTGTAGGTCATTAACATTTGGCAGTAATAGGCAGTTTGCTAATGATATCACAACCCGTACCGCACCTGTCCGTACATTATATCAATTATTTTTGTTGTGGTAGATAGATGTGTGAAAAGAAAAAAAGACACCTAAACAATTATTTCTAGAAAATCTGTAATTATCATTTGGTGCTCCACAAAAAGTTGTGATAGCCGGTTAAGTGTTCTGTGGTTCTAGAAAGGGGTAGAATCACTGTGTCAGGGTATAGAGACCATGTTTAATATCTTTTTTATAACATGGAAAAATATTCTTACCTCAATCCTGCTATCATATGTCGTCTTGGTAAGTTCCAAGTCAGCTTTATAAGCAAGTTCAACATTATGTAACAAAGCTTTGGTATGACCAAGTTGAGATTCCAAGCTTTGATTTCTGGCTTCTTCACCAGTGGATATAGTTCTCTCAGTCGTATAATGTTGCTGGATATTTTCATTTATTGCCATTGATCTAGTTGTAGGGGTTGGTGGAACGATTGGAGCTTCATTGACAAATGCAAAATCTGCATTTCTTCTTGGTCTTGAAGGTTGACTACTAAATGCTGGAGTTGAAGATCTAAAAATGTAATAATAATCAATAACAAGGATTTTATCAATTTTTTGAGATTTGATTATGTGCATTATCACAATAATATTCAGATGGTTAAATAAGGAATATGTGATGTTCATACAGGGTTGTGGAACCAAGAAAAATTGACAGTCGTCTGATACTCCAACCTGTTTTTAAATACGACTTCGGCTCGGACGTACCTTGAAAATGATTTGTCAACTAGTTGAAATAAAAAGTATTGAAAATTTTGTTTCTATGGGCAAAAATATTTTCCACAAAAAATGTGAGCAATATCAAACAATTGTCACCATTGCCAGTGCAAAGGAATATATATTTGGCTATCTTACTGCCTTTGTAACCTTTGCACTCTACCTAGGTACCCTATTTTCAAAACAAAGCGATCACCACAGGTGCCAATCACAAACCAGGTAGATAACATGAAGTCAAGGTAATTACTTTCTGGGAGACCAATTATGTCATTAGACTTTGAATCATTTTACATATGTACTGTTATAATTAGCAATTGTATTTTTTGTCACATAGGCTAGACATTGAGATAAAATATGTAAGTTGAAAATAAAAATAAATGCAATAATGAAGGATTGTCAAAAATATCTTACTTTGATTGGAAAACATCATCAACACCAGATTTCTCACTCTGAGAAGTTGACCTCGTCGGTATAGGAGTGTCATATATCTGTGATAGTAAAAATCCAAATGAACTATAAAGTGTGTGAAATATTTTCATTGGAAGTGGAAGTCTGTGGAATCGTGGAAACTTACAATCGACTCCAACTTAAGCTTCGCGAACTCGGAAAAAAATCAAATTTTGATAAAAAAACTTTGACGTATGCAACTAATGCTTTATGAGCTACTGTATAAAATTCGACTTCTACTATCATCATTGAAATTTGAAAGTATGAAAATCGGACTCGGGGAATTTAAAATTTCCACTAAGACTCTGGAGAAGTAATGCCAAACTCCGAATCCACAGCCCTGATTGAAAGTAAGGTTTGTTTCGTTTGGTCAAGGTATGAGTTATTTAATTGACAAAAAGCGGATAATGGAAATGAAAGTTAGCATTACAACAGTGAAAATGAAAGACTAGGGTCCATAAATATGGAAGTAATGATGGGCCATAATTTAAGACAAGATATTGTTCAACACATGAAAATGACCTATAATAAAAAATCTTTGTTCGCCACCGTAATGGAAATTAACTCATTTCAAGATATATCTGAATAAAAAGTCTGTTACCACAGGTTTTTGTTGAGTTGACGCTGCTGTGATTTGTGCTGTTTCTGATGATCTTGGTCTGGAAACAAGAGAGAAGAAATGAAAGCAGAGTTATGTCAAATGGGAAGGTAATTCCGCAAAGCATTACCCTCCAAACTTCATTTCGCATTCCATATCAGGTTGCTTTTCGTGATATTACTGAACTATGAGTAAGTCCTAATTTACAACATAGAACTAATTGCTGATTAAATTTCATAATACCATATTAGAACATTCTGGGAAAGTAGAACCGCTTAAGTAAAAACTGAAGCAAGATTAAAAACACACATCCGTATTTATTTCATATGTGGCAATATTTGCTCATAAGTATATAAATAGGCTATATATGAAAAGAGTTTCTAATGATTCATTATCAACTATTAAGTGCAAAGACAGGAGCTCAAGAAGTGTGTGCACCAATATGGAGGTAACCACCGATAATTTTGTTTCTCTACTTTACATCAAGTTGTGTAAAGGGACTGAAACCTATAGACAGGAGGTATATTCACTAGACTAACATAGACAGTCCTCAAACTCATAATAGAACTAAAGTAAGGAAAATCAGAATAAAATTAAGCCCAACCCTAACCTGGTACACAGACTACGGGAGTACCCAAAGTCAATTGAGAAAACCAACAGTGAGTTTCTCGGGAAAAATAACGTCTGATATTTGCCTTCGTTTTATCCTACTTTAATGTAAACCACAGATAACTTTTCAAATAAAATAAAAAAACATTTACCTGACTCTTTGATTTCTATCTGAATTAACTTCGAGTGATGCAGAACTTGGAACATCAGCAGTACTAGGACGAGTCGGTGATATCTTACGACGAGAAACAGGAGTTTGCTTTGCAACAACCGGGGAGGATGCTGGAAAACATATTTTATTTTGATGTCCAAAATGTGGGAAATTGCCATGAAATTGAACATTATTCAAATAAACTTGATAATCATAACTTTGTGAAAAATGGCATACTCAAGGTTTTTTCACATAAGATGATTTTTGAACTACTCACAAAAGAACAATCAATTTCTCTCAAAATTTGCAAAATATAAATGCCAAAAATTTAGGGTCTTCGATGTTTTTCTTCATAAATGCTTGATTATAAAACATTCGAGGGACATCCTGAAGTATGCGCACCAAGATGGCGCACAACCTGAACTCAGGTTGTGTACCAGGTTAGAGTTCAGGCTGTGCGACATCTTGGTGCGCATACTTCAGGAGTACCTATTTGAGAAACATAAGGTAATTGATAACAATTGTATTGTAGGAAAAAAATTCAAGATATCTACATACCCAAATTTGACCAATTGCTTAAAATACAACATGCTATATATTCCATTTTTTTTTTCCAAGTAAAAGCACCAAGAGATTTTCAACATAAAAAACCATCACCTCTTTCCTGTTGAGGTGATTTCAAACCATCATCTTCATTCAAGAAGTCAAAAAAATTGTTACTGTCAGATTGCTGTCTTCTGCAAAGAAATGGACTCATTGCAGAACATATCTATTACACAGAATAAATTTTGAATTCATTCTTTTCACAAACTCATACCTTGATCTTCCCTTTCTGTTATCAGTAGATGGAGTAACACTTGGTTGATAAGATCCAAAACCAAACTCGTCGTCAAATTTTAATTGTTTTCCACCTGTTGCAGGACTGGGTATTGCTGTGTAAGGACTGGTTGCAAGTTTGTCTGGGCTTGTCTTTGCTGAAAGATTAAAACAGATTGCTAACCCTAATGATCCATGAACCTCTTTGAAAAACTTTTGGCCCTTTGCTCTTCAATAGAAATACCTAGTTTTGTATTTAAAAAGTTTCCACCAGTTATTTTATGTGCCACGTTCAATGATAAAAAATCAACAAATGAGGGCAAAGGAATAAATGTATTGAACAAATTGCAGTCGATTTACTTTAAATTAATGTGGTCATTGCAAATGGTACCTTGTGAAGGAGTGTGCTCGTGCCCCCCTAGAAGGGTGAGCACCCAGTTTGAGAAAATCTAGTATTATAATTTGTAAGAAAATTTATTCACATAGTATTTATCTTTGCAAGTTAAAACAACTATAGATACATATCGTATGTAGGATACAATCTTAATGGATCAGTATTGTAATTTGTAATAGATTTCGGATCCGGACTCGGATTCGAGTCGAATCCACACATTTTCTGGACTCGGTTCGATTTCGAGTCCACGTCATTTTTACTGAGTCTTTAATCAATTCTGTTTTTACTAATTTACGCCTATGTTTGTACTTTTACCTCTGTAAATCTCTTCATACCCTAACTGGTTAAAAATTAAGGCTAACAACTAACAATATCCCTTGTGTGTATTATAAACACTCCTAATAAAAACGACGACATAAGTAACGCATGTTGGAAACTATTGATCGCTTATAACAATGATGTCGCCTTCAAACTATCTATCCTTTTTGTATACATGTGAACAATAAAATATGTGTTAGCGCAATATCTTTGAGTTTTTGATTCGCGTAAAAATAAAACATGCTCTGGATCAACCCAAGGGGGAATATATTGATACCTCTTTTAGATTAAGTTTATTACGTGCAATCTATTCCCTAAAAAGGGAGCAATGGAAAACATGGAGAATTTTTCAATGCACTACTAGATTGCAAGCAGGTGTACAACATTGTATTGCCGAGTGGCATCTACCATTTGAGCACGCGACATAAGTTTACGGCTAGAAGTATCAGGGATTATGGGGATCAGGGATATATATATCAAGCATTGTAGTCAAAAGTTTTTATTTCTCATATTGGCATGTAGGAATTTCGTAATAGCCGCCTAGAATTAACGGTAGGTGGTGGGCTTTAAATGTAGTTCACAACCATGGTGAACAGTGACACACAGTCACGTTTGTATTCTGGCCGCCAAAAAAAGGAAACAAATATATTTCTGAAATGATTCAACAGCTATATCTGCGGAACCATAAGGCAAAAAATATGGGCTACGACGTATGTTTGTGAGCGCACGTTGCCGTAGCATGGTAAAAACGTGTTTTTCTGCCTTTTTATTGTGACGTCACGGACTCGGAAGATTCGATTGCTTGACCTATTACTCGGATTCGTCGGATCTCTATATTACAGGACTCGTCCTATCCCTAGTAATAGCCTACGATTTACAAATTACTCTTACCTCATGAAGAGAGAAAATCTACCACTAAAAACAGCACAATCAATATGATTAATTGATTATATTTCAGAATTACCAGCTTTAGACGCAAAGTCGTCAAGAGTCATTTTAGATGTTGGCTTCAATAATTCGTCAGTACTTGGTCTTCTCAATAAAGATTCAACAGACAGCCGTCCCTTGTTTTCATTTCTGCCTTCAATACTAATATTGGTTTGTAAAAATGTTGTCTAAATTTCAAATAATCCAGTCTATCATCATTATTAAATATCTTCATCCATATTAACGAAATACACCAAAAAAAATTGCGGCATTTTGGTTGTTTTTAATGAGAACTAGTGTGTGAAAAAAATACACTTATGTTATATCTATATGTCATTCTGATTTATGGAAAAATACAGCATAACATCATTGCTTAGCTTATAAATTCAGAATTGAAAACTAAAATGAATAGCAGAGGAGAACTGCAGACTATCTCACTATCCAGGTACAGAATCTTTCTTTGATTTTCCTCTGTACAAAGAACCCTTTTAAGTTACTGTTGACGAAAACAAAAATATATATTAAATATAATACTTGGATTTTGCTTTTGCTTTCCCGCCACCATCATCTAATAAATCATCAGCGTCGTCGTCATCGAACAGCCAATCATCAGCCCCTGAATCTTTCTTTTCTACTGAATAAAAATCCAAAATTGTTATATTATCACAGTAGTTTGTCATTCATCTATACATGACTGAAATCTGATATAATATATATTCCTAATTTATATATTTGGTCTACAACGCAGGGTTATTTTCGCTAAATTTGGGCGTTGAAAAATACCTGGGCAATATTTTGCTGTTGCCCAATTCGAAATTTAATTTCTTTGTGAATTCTTCAAACAAACTTTTTCTGGATTCCAGCATTTCTCTAAACAATCACCACCTAATGTTTGATATTGAATTCTAGCAGAGAAGCTCTAGTTAATACTGATTATATCACTTGTAAGATGCCAAATATACGTATTGATAAATTGAAAAATATATTGATGTCCCAACAAACAATAATTGAGAAGTAAAGAAGACCCCCAAAAATTATAAAATTGTCAAACACAGTTGATGAATACTCATTCAGGATAGCAAATGAAGCAAATGTTGAAATAAAACATACCTGGTTTCGATTGCGCTTTATCACGCGATGGCATGTCTTCGTCTTCATCAGACAATAAACCTGCCAATGGATCATCCATATCAAAATCTAAAAACCAAAATAAAATATTATAACGAGGATGATTCAAAATAAAGATTAGGTATTAATGCAAAAATACATTGGATCAGAGTTAATACTAGAGAACAATAAAATGAAAGTTTCGACATGGCAAAGGGTTAAAGTTAACATAATATTTAAAAAGACAGAGAATCGACCAATGCAAATAAAGGACAATATAAATTCAGCAAATATAAATAGGAATAAATTTTAATTTTAAATATTTTAATAAATTTTAATACAAAAACGAGAATATCGGTCAGAGACCGAAGACTTATCGATCGAAAGTTAGGGGATCCCCCAAAACAGCGCTCTTACTCCATAGTGACACCTTGTGTCCCATCACTAATTAATTAATAACTCGCTAATTATACGACATAATTCGCCCAAAATCAATAGGCTTCTGGTCCGAGATAAGATGAATACACATGCAAAATCTGGAGCAGATTCAATCTCGCTTTTGTGAGATATCGCGTGCATCTAACAGACATACAGACAAATACCTATCAACATACTTACTGATTAAAATCGATAAATAATAACTTCAAGCTGTTAATTTTTTAAAATGATACAAAGACAGCTAATAAGCATTACCTAAGTCATCGTCCTTGGATCTTGTTGCTTTTTGCCTTGATCTTCCCAAGTTTTTATCATCTGTGAATATTAAGATGACAATTTTAAAATAGAATTTGAACACAAGCACAGAGAAATAAAAATCAAGTGTAATATAGGTACTAACCTCCATTTGATACATTGATATCAGCATGAAAACTGACTTTCTTCTTTTCAGTTTGCGTTTTTGGTGTTTTGACATCCTGTTACAAATATAATACTTCATAGCAAAAATGTCTAATGAGTTAGTTTTTTAATTATAGTTGTGCAAGCAATATCCTATGGCTTTGAGACCAAAATAATCACTGATAATATAGTCAATGTCATAATATCACACAGGGTTGAGACAATGTTCAAAACCAACTCTCTTAGAAGAAACGGGTTTGAGAAAAGTATGTTCAAATTAGAATAAAAGGATTTGAATTATCCGAGAAAAGTTCATGCAATAGATGTTTCTGAGCATTTACTTTGGTAACAAAGGCTAGTCAATAAGAAGTCAATGGAGGTATAAACACATTTATTGTTCGGAAAGATTTCCAGGCATGTTTGAACAAATTGACTAGCCATCATAGTTTTTAGTGTTTCTTGTCAGTCTATGGTTGCGCTTTTATAATATAAGCACAACTCAGCCACAGTTTAATCTTTAGAAGAGTTCAATTCAGTAATCTGCCTGAAAACTTTTTTAGAGATTGAGGATAGTGGGCACCTTTTCTACAGGCACAGTTGTCTTTTTCGGCCCAAATAGCTCAGCATCAAGATCGTCAATATTCTGAATAAAAAAAATTTGAAAGCATCATGAAGACTTACGAGACTGTTTACAAAAAATATGATACAAAATGTAAAGGTGGAAGTTACAAGCTCATATACCAAGTGGCTCCAAAATACTATTTTAAACAATATTAAGCATTGTACAATATGTACAATTGACTGTGGGTAATATATTTAAAAGTGATATGCTTCTAACATGTCTAATGCCAAGAAAAATATATTGAAGAATTTATCTTAATGTATGTACTTATAATCATAATGATCTACCACGTTACAATTCACATTTGATTGAGAGGAGACAAATTAATTATTTCGTCTACCAAAAATACACAGTCATGATATCAATAAAAAAAATTAACCGATTCCATGATAAAGTTAAGATGAACTTATCATAATGAGTGAATAAGACTAAAATTCTCATAATCTTACCCCTATGGTATCAAGTATTGCTGCTGGATCAGCATCTGATATGTCTGACTCATTGTCACTCTGGAATTAGAAATAATAATATTATGCCATCATGAAATACAGAATACCGTAATAATGAATAACATATGACTCCAGGACTCAATATATGATAGGCCTATACTGATAAAAAGGTATATAAGAATTCAATGACTGCAGGATTGATAGTGAAACACAGTTCATTTCATAGAAATTTATTACACTTAATTGAGAACATCCAGACATCAAATTTCACCAAGTGCAGAGTTCATTTAGTGTAATTAAATTCTGAAATTATAGCATTAAAAGTATAGAAGTATAAGTTTATTTTGACTTCATACAGTCATAATCAGCAATAGACGATAAAATAAGAGATGAAAACATAAAAATAAAAGTAACTGATTATAGAATCGGGAGAGCAAACAAAACCTCAAGAAAGGTTTGAAGCGTACAGATTTTAGATGGAAAGGTATTGATAAAAGAGGTAGTACGTGTTCGCTCACCCAAGAAGTTACCGTACTTAGCTTACTACTGTACTAAAGTAAGTTTAATGTTGTATATTTGAAGTTACAGTAACAGTCTAGAGAAATTAGCATACACGCATATCCTGATGCTCTTACCGCCCATCGAAATCATTTTCATTTTGTTTTTTTTACTGAGCTCCTCACTCAGTCCAGCAGTCACTGCACTCACAGACCAGCAAACTCACCTGGCTCATTTTCCAGCTTTTTGGGCATGTGTTCTCTCTCTCCAACTTTGCTGCCTATTGTCAGATTGTAAGATCTCGTATTCGTAAATTATAAAAAGAGAAAATACCAGATCCGCACTAGGCTATGCTCTATTTTTATTATTTTAAATGCGCCGAAGAACCAAATCGCTCCCAAAGTGAGTATAAACTTCATATATAGTCACTTTGACCGCTCCTCGTCCCGGTTGAATTTTTACGATTCCGAAATATCGACCAATCAACGCAAAGTACTGGAGCAAACTGTCAACAGAGACTTGACGTAGAGTTTTTTCGTGTATATGTAAAAAACAACAGTTGCACAGCTTTTTTCACACATATGTTATAAAAAACTTTGGTTGTATGTTGCTATAGTCTAATATTATCTTTCCCAACCCCCAGCGAATCATTCTTATGCCTACGATTACAAGGTTTTGAATGATATAAAATTTCAGCGTTTAATGGTAGGTAGCAACTAGCAAGACACACATCCTACCTAATAGCGAGTTTTTTCTCTGTGGGCGAACTAGGATCCGGATTCTCCTATTTATTTCGATGGAGAGGAAAGTGGGTAAGACGACTTGATCATATGGCGTCGGCCGTCGAGCTATCATCTTTCCCCTGTATTTGCGTGTTCCCCCAAACAACAACAAGTAAACATCGTAACCATTACATGACAAGCTTTATTATTATTATTGCACTGATTATTATAGGTAATTTTATTAAGAATATGTCATGTATTTAATCGTAGGTTGATATTTTTTTTCATTTTACATCGGAAAATATAATGTGTCATCAATTAAAGTAATCATATGTCTGTTAATTTAAGCAAAAAAACACATATAAATATCGTGTTTTTAATTAAAAGAGAAAGTCCAGGCACACTTCGTTTATATAGGGATAATTATAGAGATTTGAACACAGTGGAATTATTTAGTCGGTTATATCATCAGATAGCGAAGTTCCTGAATCATTGAGACCAAAATCACCGGAAGTGCAAGACGACGATTCGGTCTGTAAATCATCCACATCAGTATCAGATTCGTCGTCACTTGAATTGTAAGCGTATGACTTTGAGAAACAAGTGTTTGAAGTTTTCTTAATAATTTTCTTTAAAGCCACTTGCATTCTGCTACGTTTCTTCTCTGGTCTAGCGGCAGGATGGGGCCGAGCTGGAGTCATTTCAACGGCCACTCGTGTTTGAGATCTTGTCTCAGTTGTATAAAATCCTAGTTTATGCAAATCCGACAGCCAACAATTGTAGCGGTGGATTCGATTTAAACTTTTTCCTTGAATTCCTAACCTGTGATATAACAATAAGCCTGTTTGATAAGCATGCATATAACATTGTGGTAGTACCTCTTGGCAATTTATTAATCAAAACTTTATTACAACAACTTTGACAAAAAGAATCATTATCTGATTAAGATATAGACTTAGTATAAGTTTATTTCGACTCCATAATCAGCATAATAAACGATAAAATAATTGATAAAAACAAAATAAATATCAAACTGATTATAGAATCGGGAGAGCAAACAAACCCCCAAGTAAGGTTGAAGCGTACGTATTTTAGATGGAAAGGTATTGACAAAAGAAGTAGTACGTGTTTGCTCACTCAAATAGTAATAGTATTGGATCAAAGAGTTCAAATAAATTAGCACCAATATTTCAAAACGAGAATATCGGTCAGAGACCGAAGACTTATCGATCGAAAGTTAGGGGATCCCTCTAAACAGAGCTCTCACCCCATCACTAATTAATTAATAACTCTAATTATACGGCATAATTTGCCCAAAATCAATAGGCTTCTGGTCCGAGATATGATGAATGAACATGCAAAATCTGGAGTAGATTCAATCTCGCTTTCGTGAGATATCGCGATCATCTAACAGACAGACAGAAAATTACCTATCAACATACTTACCGATTAAAATCGATAAGTAACAATATAAGCTTATTCACTACTCACTGATATACATGTCTGGCCATTGCATCTGTAGTAACTCTGCGAACTAATCTGAAATAGACCCAGTACCAAATCCAAGTCTGACACATGACGTCATTTTTATCCAGCTAAATTAAAATAAACGAATACATTATTACTGAATCCATTATTATGGGATGTGGAGTAACCCGCATATAAGATCGTATGATTTTTAAATAAATATTGTACTTGAAAGTTGATTCCCTTAGCCGCTTGATAAAATTTGATCGGTTTTCCTAATCTTGGACCTAAATATTGATGCATCCACAATTGAACCTCCTCTGACCCTCGTCTATCTCCTGATGGTCCAGCTGTAAAAGTGTGTGTTTTCATATTTTTTACCATCTAAAAGTACTAAACTAATACCAGCGCAGATGTAATGTTGTCAAGATTTCTATTTCAGAAAAATCTCTGAATCCAGTAGTAACATCGACTTCGATTAGAATGATAATTTCAAAAAACTGTGAGTTATAGCAATATTTATTCATAGTGTAACACATTTAAATACTGTATATTCATTTTGAGTCTCCAACACTCTACGCCCACAACAACATAGCTTAACTTTAAATAATGAAAAATCGAACCTGGATCCACATATTCCACGTACACGTGGCTAGGTGTTTCTTTCATATACGCCACAGTGATATGCTGAGGAAGACCAATCAATACTATTGTGTCCTGTATGGCAAAAATGAACTGGAAATTTTAGGTACTAGGCCTATATTAAACTAACATACGTTTAGAAGAGTTGGACAAAAAAATACTCAGAAATATATAATGGGGATCATTGCGTCAAGACCAAGGCAATCCAGAGTTTTGGTGTAGTATTACCTCGGTCATATAAATCCCAAACTCAATGAATTTTAACAAGCTTTACCTGTAGCCTATTCGTCTAGTTTTCAAATGAGACGCAATAAGTCTCATATAATATTGCTTTAAATAATTTATCTAATACGAGCTTATTATTTGAGGTGTTGTGGGGTCTGTAAAAAAACGCACGGTTTAGGCACCACGCGTCTGTGTGAATGTCGCTTGTGAATCAGCCTAGAAATTACATTTCATATACCGAATAAAGTCTTCTCCGCCATCTGCCTGGTAAGAGTATACTAGCAGGTGCAATTTTCGGTCGATATATGCCATCAGAATCTGCGCTGAAACGTACGTCACAATCTGGACAAGGGTCTTCGTCCAGGGGCTGAAAATAAGGATTAAAGTAGCTTGTTCATGGAAACTGAGAAACTCTTAAGAATTGTATGCCATATAGATATAAGTAAAAAATAAGTGCACTTTAAAACAAGTGATATTTAAAAACTATTGTAGTAACATGAAGTTCACTTGGATTAATTGTAGTGTTTGATGGGTTTCTCTACGGAACAATTTAAGCAAATTCCACTGTTAACTGAACTTGGTCTTGGTGCTGTGATGATATTCATATTACTCAAGGCGTCGGTTGTGTGATCTAAATTTTCCTGATTTGCAAAGCTTTAATGCTTGTTGCAGTGTTCCTGGCGTGAATGAATATTAGAATAAAAGGAGGAACTAACTCCAAATTTAAGTGCAGCAATAATGCGATGAGGTAGAACTTATCAGGGATCTTAATAACATGAAGTTATAGGATATTTGTGTTACGTATTACCTTGTCGTACAGTAATTTCCACTTAGGGTGCTTCCACAAATCGTAGTTTACGCACGGAGGTAGAACAGATACATTGACGGAATGTGCTTCCATGAATCTTTTCATGATACAATTTGTGTGATACTGCATCAAGCGCCATTTTTCATATAAAGAAATCGATCGGCCTGTGCACAATATATACCGTAATTAAACGGTGACATGAAACAAACGACTCATAGTGTTTATATCCATAAAAATATTATTTCTACATAAGGCTTAATAATAAAAAAAAATTTCAATCAAAATGTATCGCAAAAAAATGAGTTTTCTCATATTTCCTCCCAATTAATTCTCAATGTGATAGGGGATTAGCGGTATGTCTTATGTTATAGAAGTAGTGTCAACAGACGGCCCCACACCAATGGGGTCCTTCTTTGTCGGTCTTACTGCTAAGTTAAAATTGTGTAGTATACAAAAAGAACAGATAAACGACGAGATGATATTGATAAATCTCCAATTCACTTGTTGTTGAAGAACAGAGATTAGTATTCTATCAGCAATGAGCTAATAGACAAGTCATCTCAGGACCATAGAAGGTTTCGAATCATGACTATATGGAATGTCGTTAAAAATGGTGGGAAAATAATTTTATCCAAATATTGGGACAAAAAGTGTGACAGTAAGTTGTGCAATTTTTCGTCTATTGACTTTTGAGTAAAACCGATGATCTCGTTGATAATATGACAATAAATTATGCCCATTTCGACATATTGAGTTCTTACCACCGGCGGCTTTTAACTTTGCTCTTCTTGGTATAAAGTGACGATTTCCAGGAGGTACACATGCTCCTCCGTAATCTCCATATGTTGACTTGCCGTCCATATCGAATCTAAGAGATACATATACTGTATAGCCATGACTAGACGTCAATATAGAAATTGACCAAACCAAACAATGATTTTATTTTGTGTAATAAATAAATTTGTATAATTAAACGCGAAGAAAAATGGTACTGGTGTATATCTTAATAAATTCCTGGTTAGTCTTCCATTCTTTTACCTGGGTTCGACTAAATAATCGTTCGCTTGTGAACATGCCTCCTCCCGAAAATCGGTATATCCATTTGACGACGTAGGTTTGTCACAGCTATTGTGGACACAATAACGGCTTTTACAATTTTTTCCTGAGCTATGCTTTCCTGACCAGTTCATCATAACTTTACAACTATAGAATCCTTTTGTTGCATTTCTTTACACCCTAACTATTATCTAACCTAAATACAGGACGATACTACTCCTAAACGGGGCGAAAAACTTGAACTGAACTTTCTTGTCATCATCAATATTCAGTTTACAAATTATAATACCACATTATGACGTCACTTCATTTGTACTCAGAGAACAGCTGATTTACTTCGATTATGACATCATACACAATCCAGTCTTCAACACTAAAGTATTGTACTGATTGAAGGAAACCTGCTAGAGATAGGGTTGATTTTACATACTCAACGGCATCCTCCGTATATCATCACCGCGAAGTAAGATCAATTCCACTACACTCAGGAGCTTTTTGAAATTCAGACTCAAGACAGAATTAGGGGAACACAGTCTGTGTCAAAATTCATATTCAATTGCTGCCTGAGCTCACTTCTAAAGCCAACAGTGGCCAAACACCTGTTAAAAATTCAGACTCTCTAAGCTAAGACAAGTGAAACCATGTTACATTGCAAATTGGGCAAGGCCCGATTCTGCCCTATTTTTGAGTTGAGATTTGGACTTTGCTGCTAATAATACACCTATTGCGAAATGAGAAAATGAACCTGTCTATTTCTTTACCCAAAAATAGAACATCGAAATAATTTGAAGTTGGTATTTCTATAATAATCACACAAATCAATAATCATTTAAAGTTGAATATCGGTTCAGAAACTATTCAAATTTATTCCAAAAATGAAATAATAGTGAGATCTATTACATGATGCATTTCCAAAGAATAACTAGTTCAGCAAGGAACTGCAATCAAAGAGAAAGAAATTATGTTAAGTGAGTCTGTCCCTCTCAGATGCTGCTCGGTACTCACAAACTGTTCAATTAGAACAACTGAGATTTCAACAACATTCTCACATTAGGAAAAGTATCACTTTATACAAGAGTACAAGTGAAAGATTAATTTGGCTGGTAGAAGCAAGAAAATGTACAAAGAATGACAAACATCAAAATTGAATATGTATAATTTCCATTTAAAAAATTTGTTATCGATCTTTCTATCAACTTTACAACTTAACATCAGTGAAACCACAAACCCTGTTCATTTACATAAATTATCATGTACTTTGGGTATTCGGACCATTTGACTGACTATCATTGCAATTATCACCCAGTGCGTGCAGATCGGCTCCATTCAAATGAGTAGGCTACAGTAATAATTCAAATGGTAATCATAAACTTTTTTGACACCATATTTGAGCAACGCATACCAAGCGCTGAGATATCAATGAATAGTTTCCATAGACTGTTGATACATTTCAAGCAGCGAATGTTTAAGTAGATAGGGCAGTGGAACAAGAAAATAGCAGAAAGCTAAATTATTATTATCAAAGTAAACACAATAATTGTCAATATAATAGATAGACAAATGAAACTTCATGGCCTCAATAAGGAATCACATAAGAGATAGGGCATTCCAATACGACAATACAACAAATAAAAATAGATTACTACTATTATACATCAGAGGAAGATCGAATGGCCATAGTGACAAAACTTGTTTCTAATATCAATTTTTTAGTTTTAGCCAGCGTTGTTGATGCTTTCAAACATTTATAAGTACTACAAGAGTAATACTTGGAGGCTTTACAAGTCCCTTCATCAAATAAGCATGGAAAATTAGTAGCTGTTTACAATACAAGTTCGACAGTTACAGTTTACGATTGGTCCTTGATTCTGGCAGTGGATGCTCGACTGGTCTTCAACTTCTCAAGCATTGTTCTTGCGTATCTCAACCGATGTGCAAGCTCTTTGCAGCATCCATATTTCTCCAGTGATGACAGTCGATATGTTCGGAACTTTCGGTTATCATCAATGTAAGTAACAGCTCCCATTAATGGACAGAGAATAATCTTGGTGTGATCCTGTTAAATCAAACGAATATGGTATTATGTGATGTCACACTCACATGTCACAATATGGTGTAATTCTATAAAATGTTGATATAAAAAGTTTTAAACTTAGAAATAAATATTATACAACTTTTTCAGTTTATTGAATTAATACTTAAATACTTACAGCAAAGAAATTAATCTGTAATGTTCCATTACTCAGATGCAAGACAATGGCACTACGAGTCCTGAACCATGTACGTAAGAACGGAAGTCGAGCAAGTTGATCTCCTTCTTTGGGTGCCATGGATGCTCCAGCCTAGAAAAATGAATACAAAATGAATTCATTTTTAAACAAACCGATTGGACGAGAAATATTGCAAGAGTATGCATTTAGGTAGAATTGGGAATTCAAACAGATATTCAAATTCAGGATAATTGTATGTTGGGTTATGTTATATGGCAATCATATACACAAAATAGACTTAACGATTCCATATTTTTGGATCATTCAAACAACTAAAAAAATCTAAAAAAAATTGGAAAATATGTTTCAATATTACCTAAACAGTAACATACCTATCCCTACACATTTATCTGTCATCTTACCATGAACAACTAGAAAAATAAAAGAAAAAATGGAAAAGATTAATTCCAACTCCCACAAATCTTACCTTCAACAGGTGCTCACTCATGTAATTTCTGAAATACTTGAGAAGAGTAACTTTCTTAACGAGCATATCAGGGTATGTTCGTATAGTATAATATGATTCCGACATGTCTTTGTCAATGTATTCAATATGTTCACCATTTGCATAAAGCAAAATTCTAGTGCTGTCATTGAAAAGCACTCCATTGCTGTTGTCGCAAAGTTGATATCCTGTAAAACATTATACATACAATATTAAATTGAGCGTTACAGATTGAATATCATTTGTGAAGTTCCCAACTTACGAGATAGGCAAAATATAATAACGATGGTTTTTCATTATACTGGTGTAAATTTAATGAATATTTAACACAAATATACTACTCTGAAAAAATGGGAATACATAGGGCCCAAAAATTATCTGAATGAAACACATCATTAATGAAAACCCCTTTAATTTATGTAAAATTTTAAATAGAAGTTTATTGGCGTTTGTGGGTGGAATGACTATAGAAGGCACTGTTGATAACTTTAAGAATTTGGCTTCAACCTCCAAGCCTACAACCAGGAAAAATTCAGGTACTCTCGAGAATAGTGCTCCACTGATAACAGTGGTTGCTTGTCTTGGGGCCTTGTTCTGAATTAGGGTGAGAAAAAGTTTTTTGAAAAATCTTTTCAAAATTTAAGTAGTAAAAGTTCAGTTATAGAATATATTACACATGAATTATCATGATAGATAAATGAATTGAATAACTTCAGATCTTGAAATCCTAAACCCAGATTACAAACGTATATCTACCTTATATTCCGATAAATATTAGACTTACCCAGTCCATACTTGTCTGTGTAATCCACCCATTTACTGATCCACAAGACTGGATTAGCTGCTGGATCTTCCGCTTCATCTGTAAAGTATGTATGAAAGAAATGTAACTCTTGAAACTCTAGGATAATTGACAATACTATATATGTCAAAATCCAGAAAAATAAAAAATTAAAGATAAATGAATGAAATATTAATAATTAAGTGAATTTAAACAGGGCATAGGAGTATTCACTTACACACTCGTATTCTCTCTCACAAGATGTTGCAACATTCAGCATGGTGACAATTTACACATGCCGGATGAGCCAGTAAGCCTGGATTAGTCAACAATGCTAAGCAATAAGTAATCTCACTGAAACCTACCAAAAATACATTTGAATATAATTTTAAGTACTTACCCATATTAACCGGGTTTCGATGAGAAGGATTGCTGTCAATAAGTTTAGTGAGTTGCTCAAATAATTCACCCATATGAAAATCAGGAGATTCATTATTGCATATCTCATTTGGTTCTGATTTTTTCCCAGCCATTTGAGCAGGAGTGTTATCAGAACCTGACAGAAGATTAAAATTAAAACATTAGCAATGTTATTGATAGCATTACAACTTGTGTTGTTTAACTATACAGGTAATCAAAGATTGCTTTTGACAAAACACTTCACAGATTATTCATTGTTTTAGCTATTTTCGAATGTGAGCAGATGGCATCCACAAAATTTTAATGTTTGTATTAGTTGAATAACATTTTTAGCATTGTACCCCTGAACTATATCTATTTATTGCATGCCTGTAATTGAAGATGCAAGTTTCAGAATTAAAGCGGTAGGCTATTTAAACTGAGGATGAATCCAAACACCATCTCGTAAATCAAAGCGTTTCATCAAAAAGCAGTTCAACAAAGTAATTTTCAAAAACTTGTGACTTCTCATAAGTCATACCATTTATATCCTGCAAAGGTTTCCTTTGAGATTGCGTCTGCATTTCAGGGAATCGAGGTGCCATGGTCAAACAAGTCGTAGGTAGTTTATGAGGAATATAACCATTAAAGAAGTCACTTTCCAGAGCTTCCTTCGCTGAGGGTCGAGATGAGGGTTCATTGCATAGCATTCTAAAAATGAACAACATATTTTATTGAGTATCGTTCAAAAAGTAAACTGGGAGTAACTCCAATGGTCGAATCCAATTTGTTCATTTTAAAAGATACTAAAACTACATAAGATACTAAAACTACCTTTTTATTAAAGTCTTGGCAGCTGGAGAAACATGATGAGGAATTCTGTATTCATTTTTCTTTATTCTGCTGTAAGTTTCTTTCAATGTTGAGGTTTCAAATGGCGGTTTACCAACCAGCAATGTGTATCTGAAAAAGGATAATCTTTCCAATATATGGTACGAAAAAATTACAATTCACAAGACAAACACATCACAAAGAGGAAAATCAGAAAAGTTGCCTTAACTTCAAATGAGGTTTAAAACAAGCGACATGAAATGCCATATGGGCAAAGTAGAATGCGAGTAAAAAATGCATCAGCACACTCTCTAATCAGGCTTTGATCATGTGATAATACAGGAATTTTAGTGAACAACCCAATGAGATACTCTCTGAAATTAAAATTATTGATCATGAAAATGTGTGAACTTACAATACACAACCAAGAGACCATGTGTCAACTTCGAAGCTGTGTCCCTTCTTTCCTAACACTTCAGGTGCAATGTAATTGGGTGTACCACACAATGTTTTCTTTCTTTCCCCTTCAAAATCAACTTTGGTTGCCAAGCCAAAATCACCAATTTTCACTTCCATCTCATTGTTTAGAAAAAGATTTCCCAACTGGAAAAATTGAATGTACATTAAATTATAAAAGATAAATGAAGAGATAGTATGTATACTGAAATTTTAGATCCAGATTATATGACAATTTTCGGCAATCAATATATTTTCTTCTGTACACTATTCCGCCTTTTTTAATAAAAAGAAAAAACATATCCGTAAATTAGTCAAGTCTTGAGAGCTAATTTTATTATACATAATAGGTAATAATAATAAAATGGTTACTTTTATATCTCGGTGTATAATTTTTTTGTCATGTAGATATACAACTCCAAGCAGAATTTGTTTCATATAGTATTTTGTCTCTGGTTCGGTAAGAGCTTTTCGTCGCTTGTACAATTCCATAAGAGACTGTAGAAAGAAATAATATAATTTTGAGAGATAAAAAAATGTTGTTATCTGCACTGCGGAACCACATAATGACAGGCGCTGTTGTTGTTCAAGTCAAAGTTTAAATGTGTTATTTTAATAAATTGTTTTCGATTCATCCAAAATTGTTGACAGCTAGAAACATTGCTGTTTCATGTAGTGAACATAGCGTATCGGTACAATGACGCGAGTAAATTTTGACTAATCTGAACAGGTACAATATTTCAAATGACAAAGGTTTTAATTTAGATAGATGAGGAAATGAGAGTAAAATAAGATTTGAACAAAACTCAAATTATACCCTTCTTTTGCACAATTCCAAGACGATATAAACAAAATCTTTATCTTCAAAAAATCCATGGAAACCAACAACATGATCATGATTGAGGCTACGATGAAGACTAATTTCTTGAGTCATTTTTTCTTTCTGATGAGGCTTCACAAGGAGTGCCTAAAGTATGGAAAATAGCAAAATTGATGAGTATTTAAACAAATAATATTGGAAAGTGACAAAATGAAATAGTATTAGAGAAACCTAGTTTACAATTTCATTCTGGACTAAAAGATAACTGAACGGTAAATTATGGATTCATGATATCTGCCAAATTTTGAAATGAAATTTCATGAAAATGCATTTAGTTTTCATGAACCTAAATTATTACATGACAGTTCATAAACAATTTCTTTAAAACTTGTTTTACTAAACACTCTGTAAACCATAATGCACTTGCCAAAATTGAATATTATTCTCAACGAAATATGAGAAAATATGATACATAATTTAATATATTGAGATGTGAAGAGTAGCTTATTTTAACCTTAGGAACAATTTTTCCAGCTAACGTTTCTTTTGTTTCATGATCTGTTATTTCAAAACATTTAGCGAATCCTCCTTTTCCCAGAAATCTTCCGCGAGTATAACGTTTTCCAGAGTTGTCATCACACAGAATCTCAGGGATCTCCTTCATCGGAATATCCTTCTTAGACATGTTGGTGCTGGTAACTTCTTCAAATGATTGAATGCGGAGAAAATTCAGATGTCAATAAAATATTTAGTTAATTCTGACAAGAGAAAAACACTAATTACTCAAATATTACTAACAAGACAGTAAAAAGTATTACTGCGTACAAGGGCCCAATGATCATCCCTAAAGCTTATTGTTTCATACTTTACTTTTGATGGATATTTTATTTTTGATTTAACAGGTGTCAACCTTCTGTTATTTTGAAGGAATAAGTGCTTAGTTAAAAATGAAATTTACCGCGGTTGGCCACATCAGGAAATAATTTTGGATTGATGCCTATAGACAGATAGCTGGATAGATGAAAAATAACGATGGAAGAAGTTGTCATTTACAAAACGCATTTAATGACTATTCTATCCAAATATTTTTAATCCTGGCATACTGAATATCAATTGAAAGAAGTTATCTGACCACTTCCAAATAGATCATCCAGTCATTAATCAGTTTTACAAACACCATGAAAGTTGATATTTCATTCTGAAAGCTACATAAGAAGATCACATTTCTGATTTCTGGATTTAGTCAATCACATGACTTTGGGCAAAATTTTGCTATTTCTTCAGTCAGTCTGTCTTTAATGACTAACCAGTATTGCGGCAGGTCGGTCCAAACACTGAAACATTAAACACAGTCTCGATAGGTCCGTGGATGTTCAACTCCACCTTATTCTGCTATTGCAAAATTTCTAAATAATCCACACATGATATTTTAAGGACATAGATAAATGAATAATAGCATCCTAGTTACGATCTGCTTGGAGATGAGTCGCGACACTGTTGCGTTTCAAATCTTTCCAAACTGGCGCTTATACAAGCCAGTACCGAAAACTAACAAACAATCTCGGAGGCGACTTCAACAATTTGAAATTCAACAATTTAGAAGTGTTCCCGTTTCAAAAATAAAATGTAAAAATCTCCGGTAACAAAGCCCTTATATTGAATTACACAAAAAATAACCGCTGTTCTTGTAATTACAGGTGCAAAAGCAATTCTCTAATACACACATACGATAAATTTAACTGATTTTGATAAGATTTGATTCAAAATACACAACAGTGAGCCCTGGATATCGAGTCTTTTTCATCTTTTTCATATTACCTTTTGCCAAGTAAATACACGCCGAACACAGGCATTTAAATCTCATTTGAAACTCGCTGTTCCAGCGACGGCGGTTTCTGATTGGTGTACAAAGAATGACGTTTCTCTTTCTCATTCTCTCATATTAACATTTGGCGATTCTCTCGTCTCGTCGTGGGTTGTCAGAATCCAAATTGACTAGTCACTTTGTCAGAATCAAAGCGCATTCAACAGGTTCCATTACATTTGAACCCACGTACATTTGAACCCGCGACGATTGCATCTGCATACTATTGCACCTACAGAAATTTTTTTTGATTTACGGATATTTGAACCCATACTAACCTAACCCATGGGTTTTAGCACCTGCATATAGATTGAACCCGCGGATATACACATGGGTTCAAATGTACTTGGGTTCAAATGTACGGTCACCCATTCAACATTCTCGAGGGTAGCTCGCCGTCTCACATCTGAAGAATTCACACAAAAGTATTTTATTCTAAAAATATTTATTATTTCCGAAAAAAGTTTGATTTCACACTCATGTTATATATATATATATATATATATACTGTATAGGGACGACGTCGTGTATCAGGTATAAGTATAAGTATAAGTTTATTTCGACTCCATAATCAGCAATAGACGATAAAAAAATAGATAAAAACAAAAGTAAAAGTAACTGATTATAGAATCGGGAAAGCGAACAAAACCTAGAGTAAGGTTTGAAACGTACAGATTTTAGATATGGAAAGGTATTGATAAAAGAAGTAGTACGTGTTCGCTCACCCAGAAGTAAAAAAAAAAAACTAATTAAGGCACGCACGCACACACACACAATCATCGAGACATGATACAGTCGGAAGCGAAAACAGCGAGACTTAAAAGTAAAAAGGAAGGAAAATATACAAACAAATAAAAAAAAAATGAATAAATTCTTTTGCCACACCAAATTAATAATTTTATGAGGATTGCCAAATTGGATACCGAATTAGTCAACAAGAGTAATGTATTGTGGATAGAAAAGTATTCCTCAAAAGATATCGTCAAGCTGATTATAATTGAAGTCACTTAATGCCAAATTGCCCAATCAGAATTGCCAAGTTGGATGTATGAAGAGGTGGGCTAGACCTGCTCCACTCATCAAATAGAAGCCACAACAAGCCAAATAACGTCCAAATTATTTTAAATACTATTAATCAATAACAGTACCGGTAATCATAATTAAAATTAATTAGGGCGGTATGATACAGAGGTAGGAAAATTGGTTAAGGGAATATATATGGTGTTTAAGGTTCAAGTAAGGTTTCTAGGGTCATGGATTATAGGCAAGTAACTTTAATTGAGGTTGTTGATCACTGCGGTCAGTTCAAATTCATCACGGATGATTCATCAGTCTGCAAGTTTTGTTGATGTATACACCTTTCATGTTGACATAGATAGCATTTAAATTGATCATCATGACGTCCTGAAAAACGAAAAATATATCTGCGAGTACAATGTTCAATGATTGCAAATAAGGAATCAATAGAAAACTACCCTACACCTTTGAGTGGAAGTTGTTGAATTGTGTAAATATTGATTAATATTATTTAAATATCATTAGACTGCTAGTTGAAAGACCTGAGAAAGAAGAGATTGTGGTTGGGACACAAGAGAAATTGTTCACAAACCATGCAAAAACCTTTCGATGTCGGTCAAACCACACACATGTATGCCATTATCTTAGTCATGAACATCACACCAACCCTTACACATTTGCATGCTATACACAGCATAAATTCGACCAAGGATAAAAACTTTGTACACACGCAGGACACAGCATATAGTACTACAGCAAGTTAAAATGTAGGGGAGAATCCAAATATACCCCGACTGGTCACCTAATTACAATATTAGGTACAGGAGTTAAATTATACCGTCTACAACCCTCACAAAGAATCACATCACCCAAACAGAAAACAAAGTTCACGCATGTGGAATATCAGAAACCCAACATTGAAAAAAAAGGAAACATGCGCATGCAGATATCAGAATGTGAACAGCAATATTAAGGAGAATCTTATGCTATAAAACAAAATAAATGGCCAACTAGAATGCAAATCAGATGGAGAGAGCTCAACTGCTTGTTCAAAATTAATTAGTAATCTCAGAAACAATAACAATAGGGGGGGAATCCAAATATACCTCGACTGGTCACCTAATTACAATATTAGGTACAAGAGTTTAATTCTACCGTCAAGTTAAAATGTAGGGGGGAATCCAAATATACCCCGACTGGTCACCTAATTACAATATTAGGTATAAAACAAAATAAATGGCCAACTAGAATGCAAATCAGATGGAGAGAGCTCAACTGCTTGTTCAAAAATAAATTCAATCTCAGCAATCTCAGAAACAATAGCAATGGGTGTTCAACATTCTCATGAAAACAATAAGTATGTGCAAGTGCTGAGTGTCCCAACTTATGTCATGGTCTTTCTTTTGAAGTTGTAGCTAATTACATACGAAAAATATATAAGAGTGGGATTCTAATTATAAATTTTAATATTTTGATACCAAGTAGGACTTGACTTTTTTCTGAAAAGATTTTTTGGATTTTAATGTCTTCAAATTCAAGGGGAGAGAATTCCACACCTTGGGCCGAGTATAACATAAGGCATGTTGGCTCACAGATGTACTCATAAAAGGTATGAACTACTACTACATGTTGGAACTACTTCTTCGATTGGAAGTAATTTTAGTTAGTATGTCGTCGAAGCAGTTTGGCAAGGAATTGTTATGGAAATCATGGACTAATGATAATACTTCAAATTTCATTATATCTTCAACTTTGAGTATATTTAAGCTTTTTATAGAAATGGGTTTACACTTTCACGTTTACCTTTCCTAAAAAAAATTCTTAAAACATTATTACAAATACTTTGCAATTTTGAGACAAGTGTTTTATTACCATGGAGCCAGACTGAGCAACAATATCGGATATGGCTGAGTAGTAATGATTGAAACATTGCTAGTAAAGCTGATTGATTAACACACTGGGATACTTTGGCAGCCACTGCCAAGTTTCTTTTTGTTTTACTAATAACATGCAATATGTGTGATTTCCAAGACAGATTTTCATCGAAGATAACTTCTAGAAATTTTCTTTCTTTCACTCTTTCAATTTCATTGCCATTGAGCAGCAGTGGTTTTGTACAACTCACACTTTTATGCTTGTTTGGATGGAATAATACAAATTTAGTCTTGTTAGCATTAAGAGATAATTTATTAACTAACATCCAGCTATGAATGTTGGCTAGTTCGTGGGCTAGTTCAGGTCTTGAAATGGAACCGATGGCTTTGTAACAGTCGTCGGAGTCTCAGTACTTTGAACTTGAAACGTATATATACTATAGAGAGAGTCGTATGCCGAAATTATTTTAACTCAGGAAAATTAACGAAACACCGAGTTATTTATTGAAACCTCGAACGATTTGATGAAATGTTGTAGGGGAGATGCGGGTGACTTGAGTCATGAGGAGGCTTATTCCACCTCCAAAATTAGCGACATGCATTAGTAATAGAATGCTCGAGCGCCCTCTGTTGGTAGGTTGTGTCATTACTTTATATTTGACTGTGAGAAGCAGACGTTCTGTAGCCCTGGTGGAAAACAGTTAATGAAAAACCCGGAATCGCAGCAAAAAGTGAATTTCATGGTCTCAGGTAATATGTTTACTATTAATAATATTACAGGTCGTGGTTCAGTCACATTAACTCATTGTGTAGCCTATGTTGTGATGCTCTAATGGAGTCTATTGCAGCGCACATAGAGTAGTCATTCGACAGTAGCGGAGCTCAAATGCGAAAATGGCCGATCATGGGAGGGTTGATCCAGCGGTCACCAGGAGGGTTGCTCCGTGGCTCAACGCTCCTGCACTGGATATATTTTTCATCACATTTTTTCTTTATCAGACGA